ATTCATTTCTTTTAGTAATGCCCATGTTAAGGGTTAGGCCCTGCAAAAAAGTAAATTCAGAAACTGTAATGGGTTTCCATGCGAATGGTTTGGCAAGGTTTGAATTTTGGTTGGCAACGATAAATTGTTGTGCATATAAATTGCTTTGATCCACAATCAACGCATACAGATATTCCTTGAAAAACAGCTCCAAAAATCGAGGGGAGTAGTTACATTTTCTATTTCCACCTGAATTCCGGGTTGGGCAGTGAATGGGGGAAGTACAAGTGCTGCAAAATTTGTGGATGGCCAATCGGGATTTGCAAGCAAATCCAGAAGGATATTAGGGGCTCTACGGGCCTGTGTGCGAATTCTTAGTGGCTGCGGGACAATACTTGTGCTCGCCACCGCACCAGTTTGTACTACACTTATAGGACTCGCCACATCACCAAGTCATACTGCAGTGCTGGTATTATTATTATTATTATACAGGATTTATGAAGCGCCAACATTTTGCTCAGCGCTACAATATAAAGGGAGACAATACAGCAACAATACAGTTCAATACAAGAGGGTAAGGAGGGCCTGATCCTGGGAGCTTATAATCTAAGAGGCTGCATATGAGAATCATCAAAATTTACCGGCAAGTACTAACAGAGATCAGGCCTGATTCTGCAACACACTGTGGTTTTGTGTGTAATATATCAAGTAGCAGTGACCTACTGACACTGCACTTGCTGGGGAAGAAGGGGGGGGGGGGGTAAGCATAGGGGCTAAACGCAATGGCTGGCAGGTGTCGGGGCTGATCCCCTTAACACTGCATTTTTGAGGACGCTATACTAATGTGAACGCTGGTATAGTGCTGATCTGATCAAAGATATTGATCCGTTCAGACACTATACTAGCAATGGAGATTTATTGTGTATGAGCGTGTTCCTGGCAATCAAGGGGTCAAATGTGATGACTGGTGTACTGACGGGCAATCTGACGCTATCTGGGAGGGGCGTGAAAACCACGGGAGCACAAATCATGTATATATATGTGATTTTGCGCACCCATGCCGCCCTGTAGTAGTATTTCTGCTACAGGGCGGTCAGGAAGCGGTTACAGAAGCGGTTTGTGTTACGTCGCTGCGTTACTTTAACTGACAATTGCGTGCTCATGCAACACTGCACCCAAAATTACATTTCCTTCTTTTTTTCCCACAAATTGAGCTTTCTTTCGGTGGTATTTGATCACCTGTGAGTTTTTTATTTTTTGCGCTATAAAAAAAAAAGTCTGACAATTTTGAGAAAAAAAAAATATTTTGGACTTTTTGCTATAAAACAAGTCCAGTAAAAAAAAAATCAAATTTTGTCATAAATTTCGGCCAAAATGTATTCTGCGACATGTCTTTGCTAAAAAAAAATCCCAATACGTGTAAATTAATTGGTTTACGTGAAAGTTATAGCGTCTACAAATGGCAGGAAAGATACTGGGATTTTTTTTTTTTACAATAATAATTGTGGCAATCAGCGACTTATGGTGGTGATCAGTGATTTATGACAGCGATTAGCGACTTATGGCAGGACTGCGGCGGACATTTTGACACTGGGGGGGAACTGACTTGGGGTCACTGACATCCCCAGTGACACCAATACAGTGATCAGTGAAAAAAAATACACTGACACTCTACTAATGGCACTGGGGAGGAAGGGGTTACCTTTTTTATTGAATGAAAGGGTTAACTGTGTGAGGGGAGTGTTTTACTAGTGGGCGGGGGGGTGTGTACTTCATAGGAACACACTGTCCCAGAAAGCTACTCTCTGCTCTCTGTGACAGGGTGTTAGGAGCTGACAGGGAGCAGAGGTGCAGTGTAAACACTGCAGCCATGCTCTCTGTCAGTGAGTGCAGCTAATCGTCGGGAGCCGGCGGGTAATGACCCGCCGGGATCCGGTGATGGACACCCGCTGCCACGATCGGTGGCGCAGGTTGGGCGGGCGCGTGACTCGCGTGCGCGTCCTACCTGTTTTGCTAGACGCCTTTTTTTTATGTGCTCTAGCACAGCGGTGCTGCCCTGCCTCAGTATATACACTGCGGTAGGGAGGCAAGTGGTTAAAACCTTAGGGTTTCTTGGTAACTCAAAGTTTCAGCTCACTCCATAAATTTTCTATAGGATTAAGGTCTGGAGACTGGCTAGGCCACTCCATGACCTAAATGTGCTTTTTCTTGATCCACACCTTTGTTGCCTTGGTGGTATGCTTTTGGTCATTGTCATGCTGAAAGACCCATCCACGACCCATCTTCAGTGTTCTGGCTGAGGGAAGAAGGTTCTCATCCAATATTTTACAATAGATGGCCCCATGATCATCCTTACTCCATGAGGTGAAATCTTGCATGGAGCTCAAGACTGATGGTGATTGATGGCTATTTTCTATTTCTTCCATTTGCGAATAATCGCTCCAACAGTCCAGCCTTGTGTAGGTCTACAATGTTGTCCCTGACGTGCTTTGACAGCCCTTTGATCTTGGCCATGGTGGTGCCCAAGAAAGAGATTCTGTGGAAGGTGTCTTTCATACACATAATGGGCAAGACCAAGGAGCACCTTCTTAAATTGACAGGACTAATCTGTGTATCAGATGAGCACATTGCCAGTCTGTGGGAGTCATAATTATTATTGGTTGGTAGGGCATAAAATACCTATTTTAACTCACTGAACTGCAACTCAATTTATAACATTTGTATACTGTGTTCTTTGTAAGTGGGCAAACTTCAAAATCTGCAGTGGATAATAATTATTTCCCCCTCTGTAAAAGTAATAAAAATCAAGAACACATGTAAAAACTTGCAATCTAGCTCCAATGAGTACAAATAAGTAAAGCCCGGTAATCACTTCCTATAAGTCAAGATTATAGGATATAGGCTTGGGGATGACTACGATGGAGACATAGGAAGTTCCGGAAAAGGGTACAGAAATAAAGGGGAGGTCAAAGGAATGGTCACAGGGAAAAGAAGAGGGCAAGGGAATAGAAAGAGAATGAGGGGAAGGAGTAAAAAAGGGGAAAGGCAGATAATAATTAATAACTCAGTAAAGGAAATACTGTAATGTGTGATCTGGAGCATATAGATGTCAGAGTCCTGTCCACAGCAGAAATTCTGGAAGATCTGGCATTTCTGCCAGTACTCTGCAAGGCCGCAGAAGCACGCATCAGCCTCAGTTTGGTGACAGACGGCCTTTATAAGGAGGTTCATCACTTCCTCAAGTTGCTGGATGATCTCTAGCTCTCCGTGCCTTGTTCCTGTTTCCTGTGATTGTGACCTGTGATGTCCTGTTACTGACTCGGCTTGCTCCTGGACCTGTCTACTCTGATTTACCCCTGATCTGACGTCGGCTTTGCTTACGGATACTCTCTCTCTCTCTGTGTATGACCTCGGCTAGTGTGCGGAGTGACAGAGCGCCATCTATCATCTGGGAGGGGAACAATTGGCAGCCAATGTAGAGGAAATGATTGTGTGATATGAAGTGTGCTGACTGCGGGGGAGGGGCAGACTACAATCCGTTCCTATCTATTACACTGCAGTACAGCCGGCTCCGGATCAATGCGGCTCCTACAGGGCTCGGAGAATCCGTCCAATCATCTCTGAGCCAGGCTGGGGGGGGGGGGGGGGAAATCTGATGGGAACACTGCATGGAAGGGGGCACTCCGATGGAACACTCCATGTAAGGGGGCACTCCGATGGGAACAGTCCATGTAAGGGGACTCTCCAATGGGAACACACCATGTAAGAGAGCACTCAGATGAGGACAATTCATGTAAGGGGGCACTCCGATGGGAACACTCCATGTAAGGGGGCACTCCGATGGGAACACTCCGTGTAAGGGGGCACTCCGATGGGAACACTCCATGTAAGGGGGCACTCCGGTGGGAACAGTCCATGTAAGGGGGCACTCCAGTGGGAACAGTCCATGTAAGGGGGCACACCGATGGGAACAGTCCCTTGTAAGGGGGCACTCCGATGGGAACAGTCCATGTATGGGGGTACTCCAATGGGAACAACATTGCATGTAAGGGGGCACTCCAGTGGGAACAATCCATGTAAGGGGGCACTCCGATGGGAACAGTCCATGTAAGGGGGCACTCCAGTGGGAACAGTCCATGTAAGGGGGCACTCCGATGGGAACACTGCATGTAAAGGGGCACTCCATGGGAACAGTCCATGTAAGGGCACTCTGATGGGAACAGTCCATGTAAAGGGGTACTCCGATGATGGAACAGTCCATGTAAGGGGGCACTCCGATGGGAACACTGCCATGTAAGGGGGCACTCCATGGGAACAGTCCATGTAAGGGGGCACTCCGATGGGAACAGTCCATGTAAGGGGGCACTCCGATGGGAACAGTCCATGTAAGGGGGGGGACTCCTATGGGAACACTGTCATGTAAGGGGGCACTCTGATGGGAAACAGTCCATGTAAAGGGGCACTCCGATGGGAACAGTCCATGTAAGGGGGTACTCCGATGGGAACACTGCATGTAAGGGGGCACTCCGATTGGGAACAGTCCATGTAAAGGGGGCACTCTGATGGGAACAGCACCATGCAGGCAGCTTCTCCAAGCACAGCGCCAGTCTCCTAGAAATGGGACTCTACAGAGCAGCTCACTCGCATGCCTCCTGGCGCTCCTCAGCTCCGCCTCCTGGCTGCTCACAGTTGCTGGCCCCTTTCTTACTGCCTCACATCGGAGGGAGGAGTCTAGACTGAGGCGGGGCTCTATTCAGACACAATCGAGTTTGGTTGCAGAATGAAGCTCCAATTTTGACAGCAAACACATGACATCCACTCCCCCCCCCCCTTTTTTTTTCAAATTAACTTTAATGTAACACTTGACAGGTAAACGATGGGAACAGTTCATGTAAAGGGGCACTCAGATGGAAACATTCCATGTAAAGAGGAACTCCGATGGGAATAGTCCATGTAAGGGGGTACTCCAGTGCGAACACTGCATGTAAGGTAGCAATCCAATAGGAACAACGTTCATGTAAGGGGGCACTCCAATGGGAACACTGCATGTAAGGGGGCACTACGATGGGAACTGTCCATATAAGGGGGCACTCTGATGGGTACACTGCATGTAATGGGGCACTCCGATGTGAACAATCCATGTAAGGGGGCACTCTGATGAGGACAGTCCATGTAAGGGGGCACTCCAATGGGAACAATCCATGTAAGGGGGCACACGATGGGAACACTGCATGTAATGGAGCACTCCCAGGAGTACAGTCCATGTAAGGGGGGACTCTGTTGGGAACAGTCCATGTAAGGGGGGAAATGTGTCGGGACATTACAGGTGAGCATTGCTGACCACTACATCACCCGCCATAAGATAACAGCAACAACCATTTTAAACCTGTACTCTGTTTTGTGAATGAAAAGGATTGTTCTTATGTATATCTTAGTAAACAAGTCTGTAAAGGAAGAAGGAAGGTTCTAGGATGAGGCTTATCACAAACAGGCATCTAACACAAAAAATACGATGACTAGCATGGAGTAGGTTAGCGTAGTGTAGTTTAGTGTAGGTCCTGCCCTGAAAGAGTCTACCTTGTCGTGGTGGGCAGGCTTGTCATCTTTTGGTTAAAAATGTCAAAACTGGAGAAAGAATCTGTTGTCTCTGGGCAGTTTCATTTTTGACCATGGGATTCAACTAAAAGACTCCTAGATTTCATATAGGCAGACCAGAAAAAGAGAGTTATATGTCTATATTTATAGAAAAAAGATACAGACAGAAATCTGTACAAAACATTTTAAAGTGGCTTTGTATGTTGTCAGCATTTTTAATGTTACACGTTTATTCCTTCTATTTCATGCTGGCAACATTTCTCTGATCTAATGTTTAAAGGGCACCTGTTAGCGCACACGTTCTTTTTTTATCCTTTTATGGTAAGCACACTGCACCTGTATACAGCACCACACACACACACACAGCATATACACTACATAGTGGAATCCAGCCAATTAGATTGCACACTTTGGGTTACAAGGCGCCTTTTTCTGCTTGCTGTGCGTTTACACACACTTTAAGGTGGAATCATGTGGAGTTAAAGCGGAGCTCCACCCAAAAGGGGAGGTTCCACTTTAAAGATTGGTCCCCCGCTCCCTATTAGGGATTGGCACCTTTGGGGGGGGGGGGGGGAGCGGGTACCAGAATTTGACAGGTACCTGCTCCCACTTCTGCTCCGATCGCCTAGGCGATCGGAAGCAAAAGGTGTCCTCCCCCCCCTCCCTCCCCATAGTGTTTTGGGACACGTGACAAGTCCCAGAAGACTAGAGGACCATTCAAGAAGCGCAGCGCTACTCGTGCATGCGCGGTGGGTACCCGGCTGTGAAGCCTCAAGCTGTCACAGTTGAGTTCCCATACTGAAGATGCCGGCGCTCAGGGAGAGAAGACGGCCGGTAAAACGGGCTGCAGGGGACACACCGAGGGACAGGTAAGTGTGTGTTTTTTAAAAGTCAGCAGCTACAGTTTTTGTAGCTGCTGACTTTTATTTATATGACAACGTGAGTGGAACCCTTTAAGGTACAGTGTTCATTGTAGACTGCCAGCTTAGCTGAGACCCCAGAGCATTTCCAGCTCCCCCTGCCTCCAGCTTCAATTAAATTTTGGCTTCAC